GAGAGAGATGGAGCTACGAGGGAGGTGATAGATTTTTCAGGTGACGCCCCCAGGAGCCCTCCAGCCAAGTCTTTCAACGTCATGTTTAACTATAAACTAATCAGGGAACCAATCCACCAATGACAATAGCACCCCTATGACCTAATCACTTCCCAAATCCCACCTCTGAGCTCTAGAGTATTTGGGGGGATATCTAGATATGGACCATCGGGCACATTCACCAATTTTTTTTCTAGCTGAAACACCTACTCCCGCTGGCAATGAATGTCACCCAGCCCCAGATCCCTTCTGGCTTCCTGCTCTGTCACTGTGAATGTGTAGTTTCTGTTGTTATAATTAGAAGAGGGGTACTGAGTCCATGGGCATCTCTTCTGTGCTCCAGGTGGGATGCAGGTGGAAGGGCTAAGGTAAAATAAAGTCAAAATTCCGTGTTGATCCTCAAAACAAACAAAAACAAAACACAATCCTCTCCATGAAAGCCTAGCAAATTCTGCTCACTTCACATAGGCCAAAACCAGTTCTCCTAATCAGCTTCAGTATAAGAGAGATGGCAAGAAGAGAGTTTTATCAGATACACAGATGCTTAGGAAAAAGAATTGGAATTTTATTGTAAGAAAAAAAATAGCGGTTTGGGAGACCAAAGCCCCCAAGCTAGGCAGAATGGGCAGCCACAGAGATGAAATCTTTGAGTAGTGTGTAGACCACAATGCCATTTCTCTACCTGTCAGGTTACAAGCAGTGTAGACTCAAGGTGGGAACCATGTTGACTACTTGCTGGCTTATAGGCAGAGTAGACTGTGTCAATCCCTAAGCCTTCCCTCTTGACCTGGTCTCATCTAAGACAGTCATCGTTTTTTTCTGGAGACTGGCAGTCTGGTGGGGGAAGCAGCCGCTAAGCGGACAATTCTAGTTGTGGCTGCTGTGTGTCACCGGAAGAAGAGGGCAGCGATGTGCTGTGTGTGTGGCATGTGGCAGGAAAGGCCTCTCCAAGAAGGGAATGCTTGGGCATCCGACACCCCCATCCCCTGCGTGCCTGAAGGCCCATCTCAGCAGGATGGGAGGAGCAGGCTCTGGTCTCTGTTCAGTGTGCAGCCCCATCTGCTGCATGGTTAGCAGTGCTGGGAGATAAACTGATCTGCAGCTGCGTGAGTGTGGGGACTTGACCTGATGTGTTTGTCTTTAGGGAAGTACAGCGCAGGTTGAGTAGCGTGTTTTGCTAAGCCCTTTCCTGTTGTGCCTGGCGTGTGGTGTACGATGGGCTTTGAGCTTGGACAGTCCAAATCCAAGAGTGCCTCACACCCTGCTCTAACATTGCACTTGTGTGAACTTGAGTGAGTTACGCAACCTCTCTCAGTCTGTTTCCTCATGTGTTCGATGCAGATGGGCATTCCCCAAAAGGGTCATTGTGCAGTCAGTGAGAGGACACCTTTAGGATGCTCGGGGTAGGGCTGCTGCAATGCCTGCCACCACCACCATGGCCATCTCTATTTACTCAGCGAAAGAAGCTTCTAAACTTCCAGAACAGGGTAGAGAAAAGCCAGTGGCCTTTGTTTTTGTTTTTGGTCTTTTTTGTCTCCCTGGCTAGATGATATCCCTGCAGGGGTCTTTTGCAGGCTGCTTCTGAGCTGTGATGGGGATGAGCAGAAGGTTCTGGGAGGTGGCAAAGCTAGGAAGAAGGTCTTCTCATTAGCCCTGATACAGGGAACCACCCTCCATCAGGCACAGAAACACACAGAGCACCAGGGGCTGTGAACCTCTCGGTTTCCAGTGCCCCGTCTTTGTGAACGTGAATATCTTAATATTTCCAGTGCCCTGTCTGAGAACAGGTCTGTTTTCCCAGGACACATGGTGATTCATCCCCATAGGGGTAAAAGGACAGAATGTTCCTTAGGGACTCAAACAACACAGTGGTATGTGTTTCTGTGGGTTAATTCTCCCATTCAGTCTCAGACAGTCTTCCTGACTTGGGCCAGTGGGGAGCGGGCACAGCAGCTGGTTTAGTTGTGTGTGTGTGTGTGTGTGTGTGTGTGTGTGTGTGTGTGTGTGTGTATGTGTGTATGCATGCATGCATTTCTTTTGCCCCCTCCTTCCTGGGCAGGCTGGTGGACCCGGAGCTCAGAGAGGACCTAGGGGGCCACAGACCCTGGCAGGAGGGCACAGGGACCCACAAGGCAGTTGCATGGCCTGTGGTCATGTCAGGTACCCTGCTTGGCTGGGTAGATGCTGAGCATGCCTTCTCCCTTCCCTCAGCCCACTCATGACGAGAGCAGCCTGCATCTGTGCGCCGTCGAGACATCTCCATCTCCTGACACTGGGGTCTTTGCCCCAGTAAGACAGGGCCAGGCAAATGCAAGGAGCTGCTCAGACTGAACATCTGGCCAGGGCCAGGTACAGGCCGTGGGGAGACTCCCACATGCTGTTAGGAGAGTGAGCCGGTCCTGGGAGATGTCGCCAGGAGGAGCCTCCTGGGGTGAATCTGGAGTTGTTCAGTGCATGGTGGCGAATGTGCTGTCTGGGGAGGTCACGTGTCCATGCCCTGAAAGTCTAAAGCTTTGAGTGCTGGTGTGTAGTCAGGTCTGGGTGGAATATTCAGACACCCAGGTGGCCTTTCTATTTGGACTGAGGGGTGGACCATTCAAATTACAAAATTTATTTTGTTAGGTAGCCAAGGAGATGGGTGAAAGAGATGAGACATCTCATTCCTGTGCCTCCCAGGGACATTGTAGGTACAGGCAGGCTGGGTATCCAGCTTCTGCCACAGGTTAAAACCCTGTGTCACATGGGCTGAGCATACCTTCCTGCCTGGGACCCATTCCGATTCACACAGTCACCTTGCTGCTTGGGGGCTGATAAATTTTAGCTGTTCTAACTCAGCAGCCAGGACCTGCAGGCCTGGGCTAGCAGTGTGCCCTTGAACCTGAGTGTGTGGGCAGAGGGGACACTGCCTGGCTTGGCCTATTTTTAGAGGGAGCCATGTGGGTCAGACAATAAAGATTGTGACCCCACAATGGGCCATTGTAGCTTCAGGGCCCAGCAGATGACCAGTGGCCCCATGGGGGCTGGGCTTGGTCATTGATGAAGTTGGCTGTGGATTTTTCCAGTCCATGGTATGACCAGGGAAGAAATGGTCCCAGAGGGCAGGAGGGCAGGGAAGGGCGTACTGGTAAGCTCTGTGTTCCAGGAGACTGAGTTTTGGGGGGTCTCAGATGACCCTGTGCTTGGGCAAGGGTTTTCTCTGAGCTGTGCCTGTGTGTGTCTGCACCCTCATTCTGGAGATACGTCATGGGCCCAGGTCTTCTTCTGTTCCACAGAGGTGCAACATGGCCCTGGCTTTGTTAGCTTCAGGGGTTTCTGGATTTAGGGCCAGGATCCCCACTTCTTTCCGCCCAGCATGGGGAAAGATAGTTCTTGCTAAATATGAATGATTTTTTCTTCTTGGGGAAGGCTCTGACTTGGGAGTCCCTGGCTTGGTGGGATCTGAGAGCCTTATCTGGTCCTTCCTGCAGCCCCCACCATAGTGAATCCTCCCAGAGAGCCCACCCTTTGTGGGGCCTCCTGCCTCTGTTCGCTGGCTTGCAAGTTTTTATCTACACGTCTCTTTGGGAAATTAGAGAGCCTGGCATATAATAAGTGCCTCATAAATGTTCTTTTGGGTGAAATAGAAGTGGCCTAAGTGTCAGAGGGAGGAAATACTAGCAGAGGGGGGATCTGACCCTCAACCTGTGTAGACTATGAGGGTGTGGCCAGTCATGCCACCTGACAAGACAGTGGCCAGGGGTCCTGGTGCAGTCACCTGCTGTGTCCCACAGGTCCCCAGCATTTTCAGGAGATGGACAGGCACCAGGCTGCTCCTGAGTTACAGATGGGGTGGCTGGCTCAAGCCCGCAGGGTTCCTGACCGGGTGTCACCTGTCCCTTCTCATGAGAGGCGGCTGTGGGGAGTGGGTTCCTGGCACCTGTGTGTTCCCTGTTGCACTCCGATCTGCATCTACTCTCAAACACTAACCCGAGAGGAACAGCCCCTTGAGGCAAGAGTGTATGGGTTGACATTTTGGTTCCCCCACTGTATGAGGAATTGAGAAGTGTGTGGATGCTGAGGCCAGCTGTCTGGGAGAAACACTGCTGTCACCTGCCTGTAGCTCTGACTGCAACTTTATGGCCCTGAGCCAGAGGGGGTTGCATGGTTTTTTTGCCTCTTGGGAGGTTGAAGAGCTGGGAAAAAGTGGCTCAGTGTTGTGTAAAGTCTTTGTGTTGCTTATCAAGTGGTAGCATGTTGGAGGGATGGACATCACTGCTCTCAGAAATGGGGCCACTCCAGGAAGGCTGTGACTAGGGTCTTCAGGAGCTCCTGAGTGACTCTTGGGGGACAGGAGCCCAAGATTGGAGGGTCCAAGGTTGAGGAAAGGGACTGATTAGGAAGGAACCATGACTGTCATTATTGTGGGCAGTTTCGGAATGAGCTGAGGTAGCTAGAACCAAGTCCCCAAGATGGGGACTTCTTTCTTTCAAGATGGGAAAAGAGTGAGTGTGGCTTCTGCCCTTAGGGAGCCCCCAAGGGGCTTCTGTACCAGGTCATGGGGCTGCCTGGCTGAGTGAGGATGCAGGCTGGGGGATTGTCATTGGCCTATGCCTGGAGGACACTCCAAGTACACATGATGCCTGAGAGAAAGTAGCTAATTCTTCTGCTCATACTTTGAAAATATTGCTTTGGGAATGGTTTATTGCAGAGAGGGGCCTGGGGCTGCTCTTGACCCCCTGGCTTCATGCAGTGATGGTGCCATCCACTCCAGGCCTCCCCCTGCCTCTTGATGGAGCCTTTCCCCATTTCCTCCCTCCTGCCTCTTGCTGTGTGTCCTTTCTGGCTAGAGAGACCTGCTGCCTAGAACTCCAGGCATCATGTGTACTTGGAGTGTTCTCCACCCATTGTTGGTAACATGTTAGATGCCTGTGGTTGGTGCATACAGCCCACGTGACGGCTCTCTGTGTGCTGTCTTTCCCCAGGAGCAGGACATCGAGACCTTACATGGCTCCCTGCATATCACCCTGTGTGGGACCCCCAAGGGAAACCGGCCTGTCATCCTCACATACCATGACATCGGCATGAACCGTAAGTTTCCCAGGGCCCCAGGTCCCAGAGGTAGTGGGAAAAGTGAGCTGGAAAGGGCTGGTCCCTTTTGGGACTTCTTGGAACTGTCCCGGTGGGGACTCTGGCTGTGACCTGAAGAAGACAGAAATGAGTAACATTGGGGTACAGTGGTATGTAGCACCAGCATGGAGTTGTGCATCCACCAAAATAGACTATTTTAGAGTATTTCCATCACATGAAAAGAAACGGTGTGCTTTCTGTTTATCACTCTTAATCTTCTGTACTCCCCAACTGTCTCATCAATTTCCACCTCTGTGGATTTGTGTATTGCAGAATCGTAAGTAACATGTAGGCTTTTATGTTTGGCTTCCATGACAGCTTTCAGTCTCTCTCCATGCTGTAGTCCGCATTGGTCCTTCTAGCCCTGTTACACAGTGCTGTTCTTTTGAAGGATCCCCTGCACTTCATTCATCCATTCTTCAGTGGATGCGTGCTCGGGCCATTTCCACCTTTTGGCTATTAAGAACAGTGCTATGTAGAGACTTAGACTTTGGCTTCTTAATTACTGGATGCTTTGGTTTTTACAAGGGATGTGGAATAGAGTACAGAGGGTCTTCCTTATGAATGTGAGCGTTGCCGCGTTGGAGGCCTGCATGATTTGGCCTGATCACCTGCCTTATTTACATTTTCCTACAGCTTATTAATACCTAAAGGTGGGTGACATCAGTGACTGGAAACCACTTTCCTTTCACTCTCAACTTCTTTTACATCACATTTTGCCTTCTGTCCCTCATGTCAGTTACATACCAGGTCCCATGTAGGTGCTTTCTAGACTTTGTCCTATGTCATTGGGCTCTGGTGAGGAGCTGGAATCAGTCACATAAGGTGGCTCCTTATTATTTTAGAAAGGGCCACTGTGAGTTACAGCAGACTAAATGCTGTATCAAAAGACCCCAGGACCACCTTGGCTTACATGCTTTCTCTCACTTGTGCAAATTCAGTGAGAGTTGAGTGGTATGTGTTCAACATGGTTATTCAGAGACCCTGCAACTTCTGCCATTTCCTGGATCCTCAGAGACTTCTGGTTTCTCTTCTTGGAGAAGAGAGAAATATAGAAGGTTGGCTGCAGATATGTGGAGAACATGGCAGCATCACATACTATTGGGTCACAACCCAATCATATGACTGCCACTAGTTAGATGGGATCCTGGGAAAGGTAGTCTAGCAGTTCGCCTAGGAAGAAAAAGTGAAAGGTTTGATGCCCAACAACTGGCCATGGTTACCTCAGGCTCTCTATAAATGGCAGATTCATCTAGGATACCTTAGGCGGTTCATGTTTTATCTTCTAGGCTCCTTTCAATGCTCTGGCCAGTACCTCAGATGTGATGGCCTAAGGGATGGAAAGAGAGAGAGAGAGAGAGAGAGAGAGAGAGAGAGAGAGAGAGAGAGAGACAGACAGACAGAGACGGAGAGGGAGAGGGAGAGGGAGAGGGAGAGGGAGAGGGAGGGAGAAAGAAAGAAAGAGAAAGAAAGAATATGAATGAGAATATGAATGAGTGTGAGTGAGTAGGGCCAGACCCCTTCATCCACGTGTGGCAGCTGTGGCTGGGTAGGGGCAGGAGCTGGACTGGGAGCCCTCCCAAAACCAGTGCCAAACGGTTGTGTGTGGCCACACAGCCATTCTGCAACCACTGTTTCCTCTCCTGACATCTCTCTCACCTGCACCCGGTCTGTTCTGCAGACAAAACCTGCTACAACCCGCTCTTCAACTCCGAGGACATGCAGGAGATCACACAGCACTTTGCCGTGTGCCATGTGGATGCACCTGGGCAGCAGGACGGGGCTCCCTCCTTCCCAGCAGGGTGAGAGTGGCCGGGTCTTTAGTGTCCCAGGGGTCATGCAAGGGGAGGCAATGGGTGGGGAGGCATCAAGATCACATTACAAAGCTTTTCTTAATCAGGGTCAAATGTAAAATTTACTATTTCGTGTGAGTTAGCATCTTAACCATTTTGAAATGCATGGTTCTGTGGCTTTGAGTTCAGACCTTGCTGCGTAGCCACCTCCAGAAAGGCTTCCTTACCATCCTCCCCACCCCTAAACTGCACTCTTTAAACTCTCCCCATTGCTGAGGATGCTGGCTTTGTGACAAGCGGGCTCCACCTGCGCAGGAGCCATGGGAGAGAGGGCCTTGGAGGGGAAAACCTTGGAAGCTGAGAAAGAGAGGAGATAGAAAGAGATAACACCTCTATTGCTGTTGGTACAGACCAGGCTGTGGGATTTTTATTTCTCAATGCCATTGTCGTCAACCTGATAGCTGAGGTTGCTGGCTCTACTTTCTGGATGAAGAAACTGAGCTAGGAGGGGTTCACTGTCTTGTACAAGGGCATACAGCTGGAAGTGGGGGAGGCAGGCTTTTGGTTACATTGGCTGCTGACCATAAGACAGAGGTCCCTTTGGAGCCTAAACCTGAGGTGTTTTTCCCTGGTCCTCAATGTGGAGGTGGGGTTTCCATTTCCCACACACAGCTTACAGATCCCCAGCAGCATCCCCTGGGGGAGCAGCCCTCAGCAATGCCCCCACCTCTCTGCATGCCCACACTGCAGTGCCCCAGGCCTGGTGGGTTATCTCTGGATGTACAGGTTTTCTGGAGTGGTCTTGGGTCTTTTCCAGCTAGATAATGTATTTTTAAAAAGTTTTTAGACTTATTTTTAATTATCAATCTTTATCAGTGAAAGTGGGGGGGATACTCAGCCCCAGGAGGCCAGAACCCGAGGTAATGAGCTTATTAAAACAGTGAGATAGGGTTAACTGTTAACCAGAAGATAAAGCCCTGAATGTTCATCAGGAAGTTAGTCTTGGTTGGGACCAAATGCATGAAAGACTTGGAGTGGAACAGAGGCTCTTAGTTCCCCCTGCCTGCCCTCAGGAATTTTAATTTACTTTATCTAGAGACCAAGATGCTGGCTTCCTCCCCTAAGGCAACCAGGTGACCCATGTTGCAGTGGCAGGAGCCAGTGATGGAGGGCGCTTGCCTGGCTGGTTCCTGCCCTGGATCAGGCTTGAAGATCTCCCAGGTGGACATCCCTCCCTCAATCCTGAAGCCAGTCAGCAGGACCCCTGGCTTGTGCTCTGTAGTCTACTTCCTGCACAAGAATTGATTCTCCCTCACCATGCAACTGGCCTTGTGGGGTGGGGAGGGCAGAGGAGCCCCTGAAGTAGGGGGCTCCCCAGTACTGTGCCTGAGGAGCTGCTGGCTGCACACTGAGCCCTGTGCACTTGGAAGGAGCCTGACATTTTGGCTGCTTTTCTCCTCAGACCCTCTTTAGATTGGTAGTCGCAACACCCAGCTCTTCTTGCATGTTCCCAAGGCTTCTGTGTCACTTCTCCTAGAAGCCCTTCCTGACTCCTTGAGGAGAACCATCTCCCTTTTGTGGTGTCCCTTCTCAGTCCCCTGGTGTCACCTCCTTGCCTCTGTCATAGTTATGTTGGATTATTTCCACTGACTTAACCTGCCTGCTCCTGAGCTGAGACCCTTCTGCAGGGCCACTTGGTTTCCTCTTTAAGGACTTGGCTAGCAGGTGGCCCCAGTGTCCATGTTTATGTAATTCAGGGTTTACTTCCTGTCTCTGAGGTCAGATTATAAAATGCATCCAGGTCTGGAGTCTGGGCTTAAGTGTCTCCCAGGCCCTGCAAGGGTGACATCTCTCAATCCCAAGACTGATTCAGCAGAGCACGAATCAGTACCCCAGGCTCCTGCCTCTGACTCTGCCTCTGCCCTTGCCATCCTAGCCCTGCAACCAGAGAGGACAGCCACACCATCTGCTGAGGGCTCCTGTAGCCATGTGACTTGTGTTCAGCCTCAGGGATGTTTATAAACTTGGTGCCAAGGAGCCCTAGCAGCCTGGCAGAGTCAGTGTGAGCCTTGAATGAGCTTTTAACCCTTTCGTGGGGCCTGGAGCAGTGGCAGCAGTGGATCCAGAGTCACTTTACCCATGAAGGGCGGGGGGGGGGGGTGGGATTCGGCTGGGGCAGCCTCAGCAGCAGGTGAGCTCACAGGTTTCTGTGTCCACAAGTGTGTGATATGGTGTCAGGCACAGAGCATCTCTGTCTGCATCGCCTGTTTGGTGGGGAGCCGACGTCTTACTGGCTGCCTTTCCTTGTCTTCCCAGGTACATGTACCCCTCCATGGATCAGCTGGCCGAGATGCTTCCTGGAGTCCTGCGCCAGTTTGGGTAAGTGTACAGGAGGGGGCACACCTGGCTCTCTGCCTCCTGGCTGTGACCTAGCCTGGCCCCTGGCATGCAGATTAGGGTTTAAGGATGAGATGAGAGGACGTTACTTCTGCATGCACCCCTAGCCTTTCTAGCTCTCTTCCCCTACTTCAGCTTTCTTCTTGAGTGGCCACATCATGTAATGGCAGCCAGCCCTATCCTGTCTTCACCTACTTCCTTCCCATGGAATGTTCTGGAATAGAGCTGCCAAGACCTCTGCTCCTCTCTTCAGACCCTCAGTTTGCCGACACGCCCCACACCCCAGTATTCCAGAGTGAACTCAGAGCCTTTGCACTAAATTACATCCCCAGCCCGATTTTATTTTTTATTTTGATAAAGCGTCTCTCAGATTTCCTAAGCTGCCCAGGCTGGGCTCAGACCTGCTCCTCCTGTCTCAGTTCCATTGAGCCTTTCCTATTAGGCAAATAATACCTCATGGTTCTGGCCTGGTTGATTTCATTCCAAGACTGAAAATCCAAAATAAAGCCTGAGAGTTGGAAGAAGCAAGACCTTAGTGGGCCTTCCTGTAAATGGCAGGACTTAGGAGCCCTGGCAGAGAGGTGGGGAGAGTGAGGAGAAGGACAGGTTCTCCAAAATCAAGGTCTCTGGTCCATGCAGAGACACAGAGCTTGATTCCCCACAGGGCATCCAGGGTGTGAGCAGCTTCCTGTTCCTCTTAGTTTAGCTTGTCACCTGCTCAGGGGAGGAGCAAGACAGCACCGAGAGGACTGCGGTGCTGAGGGTCAAGGCAAGGTGGGGGGTTTTGTGCCTCATTTCCTCCCGTGACTTGACTTCTTGATTCCTTTCCAGGCTGAAAAGTGTCATTGGCATGGGCACAGGCGCTGGCGCCTACATCCTTACCCGCTTTGCTGTGAGTTCTTCGGAGTTTTTTAAAATTGCGTTTAGAAACCTGTAAAAGCATCTAGAAGCCCAAAAGAGAAAAACTAAGAAGCCTCACTTCCATTTCCTGAGGGAGAGTAAACTGGGAACCCCAGTGATGTGCCCTCAGCAGCGTGCCCTCAGCAGCGTGCGGGAGTTGCACAAGTGTGGGTAGATATGTGTGGCATGCGTTCTCACACACGTGTGCCCATGTCTTTGCCCTCTGCCTCACTAAAATGCAGCACTGGAAGCACTGCCTGGCCCAGCCTGGCCCGTGGTAGTCAGGTGGACGGCTTTGTCCAGCTGGTTTTGATGGCCTTGGACACTAATTGATTCCAAATTCAACTTAGAAACTAATATTGTCTGATGATGCTGTGGTTACTGCCCTCACAGTGGCCCCAGGTCATTTGTGTTCTTGCCAAACTTGTCCCCCAAATACAGAGCATTCGCTGTATTCGCTGTGGTGTTCTCAGCGTCAGTCAGGTCTGAGCTTTGCTGCAGGTTAGAGATACCAAATGCACACCTGGCCCAGCATCTCAGCTCTGAGCAGATGGATAAAAGGCTGCTGGTGGTCCCAGGTGTCTGTGTGTTTCCTGGAAGTAACAAAGTAGCATAGAGCTTGTGTGCACCCATCTGATTGCCCAGTGCCTGAGGCGTGAGACCCATGGGACAGCTAGGGAGGACAGCTAGGAGGGTTGCCCTGCAGGTCTCCAGCGTGTGCACTTCCCTCTGCTCCTGTGCCTCCTCCCCCCACTCTCTGGAGCAGCTATTCAGTTTTGAAGAGTCTGCAGCCTAGTATTGCATGGTGGCATTCAGTGGCCTTTGTGACCCTAAGTGTGGTGACCCCACAGTGGCCAGAACCTGGCCCTCTTCCTGTTCTTCTCCCAAGCTTCCCTGTGACAAGAAACTCCTAGGGTTTTAGATTCCTGTCTGTCTGTCCATCTGATCTTGTATCTCCACTCCCAGCTGAACAACCCGGAGATGGTAGAGGGCCTCGTCCTCATCAACGTGAACCCTTGTGCAGAAGGCTGGATGGACTGGGCTGCTTCCAAGGTGAGTCTGGGGAGGGGCTCCCTACATGCAGAAGCAGATTGAAGGACAAAGCATTGGCCTGGAGCTCCCCTTGGCCCCACTCCTCCTCTCCTCCTACTGCCCAGCCAGGCACACAAAGCATCTTTCCTCTACTCCAAATAGGCCACTCAGAATATTGAAGGGAGACTTCGCTGTCTACACCAGCGATGTCCCAGGGACGTGGGTTCCCGAGCCAGGTTCCTAGATTCCTAGATTAAAGGGAGACTTCGCTGTCTACACCAGCGATGTCCCAGGGACATGGGTTCCCGAGCATCACCTAGATTCCTGAGTATTTGCTAGGTGTCTACCATGGGCTGGACTCATCTCACAGTACCAATGATCTTGTTGAACAAAATCCCCTTGAAATGAATAGGACAAAAGTCTGTCAGGAATCCTCATATGACTGAAGAGAAACAAGTATGTTTTCAGTGCTGTGATGCTGGGTTACATGGTAACTAGCTCCCATGTTTGGGAGTTGCCTCCTCTGCCCTAGTTCTGGGCCACATTATGCCACTCATCTTTATGGTCAGTTCAGGCAGTGAGGTTTTTTGTTGCCTTTACACAGAGGAGGAAACTGAGGCAAATGAAGCTTCCAGGGTCACACAAAGGTGGGCAGCAAAACTGGACTGGACATACATCTCTTTGACTCCAAGGTCCATGGGCCCAGCGTCCTTAGGTCTGGATGACTGTTCTGGGGCTGGAGACAGGCTATGGGGTAAAGAGCCTAGCTGCTGGGAGGTGCTGCCCAGCTGGGCTCCTGGGACTACTAATGTTTCTCTTTATAAATGATTATTTCTGTTTTAACTTTTTCCCCACCAAGGCCCCAGTGTTAACCAAGGGAGCGGGAATCATCCCAGTGGTAACAGGCTGAATCCCTTGCGAATATATTTTCTCCTCTTTGAAATGACTGTGAGGGTGAAGGGCTTGGAACCCCAGCCCACCCCCTTCTGTCCCTGTTGTGGCCACTCTGATGTGCTCCTCCCTGGAGCGTTCTTCCCAGAATCTGGGAGCTCTGCCCTCCCACCTGCATGACATTCAGGAGCAGAGCACACTCCCCATTTTTATTTGCTTTTCCAGCAAATGAAGTGACATTCCAATCGGCCTGAAAGGCTGCTCTGAGCCAGTGTGGAAGGCTGGGCACACCAGCCTCTGGAAGAGAGCCTGAGGCCTGCTGGGTTCATATCTGTGCCATGTCCTTGCCGTCCAACCCAGCTGTGGAGAAAGTCACCTGGGTGTCAGGCACAGCCTCAGATTCTGTGACACTGGTAGCATCCTCATGTAATCATCACCATGGTCTTGTGACTCGGAAATTCTTGTCACCTGTGATTATGAATGAGCGGTCTGAGGCCCAGATGTCTCCTCTTACCCAGTGCTACTAGATGGGAGGTGGCAGGCAGGGGCCAGCCCAAGGCCCTTTGCCAAGATCTTCTCCTGCAGCAGTGCACATTTGATGCTGAAGTCAATCAGCACATATTTCTGGAGCTTGTGCCAGAAAGAGCTCCTTTAATGCATTTATGGAGCGCTTGATATGTGTTAGCATTTATGGTGCTCCTGCTGCATACGTAGCCTTGCTGGGGAGAGTGGGAGGACAATAGGGTAATCAGTGAATTTCTTGACTGCATAGCTATGTAGAGAAGAAACTGGCTTGAAGGGAGAAAGCTGCATGAGGCGTGTTGGGGGCTAAGCAGTCCCTGTGTCCACTGGGGGAGCTGAGGGCATTTAGAAGAGGTGCGCAGGGCCTCTCTGCTGAGGAGCCAGGAGCTGGAGGAGCCAGGGATAAGGTGGGTCTTGGTGCAGCCCCACCTGCTATGCACCTCGTGGGCAGGAGCTCTGAGGATGCAGACTTGGGCTGAGACCCAGGCTGACCTTGCAGGTACAGTTCCTGTGGAGGCAGAGGCAGGAGTGAGTTCCCATGGAGGCAGGTCAGGTCTGCAGCTTTCTAGCACCGCAGCTGATATCTGAGATCACTACCTTTCAATGAGAAAGTGTTATTTTAACTCACACTTCCATGGGTTCCCGTCCCTGCTCAGTTGGCTATGCATTTTGGGCCTGCAGTGAGTCGGCTCATCATGACAGGAGTATGTGGCAGGCCAGAGCCACTTACCTCACAGCAGGGCAGCAAACTAGAGAAAGAGAAGTGGCCAGGGTCTCGCAGTCCCCTTGAAGGACCCTGGGTGGCCTGAAGACCTCCTGCTAGGCCTCTTCTTCTAAGGTGTCCACTGTCCCAAAAGCATCAAGCCGAGAATCCAGGATTTGACATGTGGGGCCCTTTGGGACATTCTAGATGCAAGCTCCAGCTAGATGCCCTCCAGAATGAAAGCTGGGGGTCCAGAACACTACTCTGTCTCCGGGTGGTGGGGGTTGACTGAGTTTGGCTCCCTGTCGTGGATCCTGCTTTCTGATGTGCTTGCTGTCTTCCCCGCAGATCTCTGGATGGACCCAGGCCCTGCCGGACATGGTGATGTCACACCTCTTCGGGAAGGTGAGTAGCCGGCCTGGCACTGGGGGTGTTCAGATGGTGTGGTTAAGGATGGTGCTCAGCAGCGGATCGTGTGAATGGGGGAGATGAACAAGACAGAGCCAAGTGGGCCCCTGTGCTGATGCCTGTGATACTGTGACAGGTTAGCAAGCCATTCATTCCACCTGCCCTTAAATATGGTTCGTCTCATTGAAGCCCAGTACTCTGCATGTCTTTTGGCAAACTTTGGTATCTGTACGACCATCTGTACGACCTCAAATCAAGATAATGGACACTCCCACACCCCAAATGCTTCCATGTACCCCTTGATAGTGCTCCTCTTTCTCCTTCCCAGATACCTTCCTCTCTTCTTTCTGCCAATGACAATCAGTTTTTAAATTTGAGCTTGCAATAAGGGCACTGTGATGTATTCCTGTCTTTGGTCTGGCTTCTCCAACTCAGCCTCACATTGTTGAGTGTCAGCCTTCACACACACTGTTTCAGAGCTAAGCAGTGCTCGGGGGGTCCTGCATTATTTCTTGTTCAGCTGTTCATGGAGCTTGGGCTGTTCTCTCTGTGGAGTATCACAGATATCTGTCCACTTCTCCCTGGTGTTAGCTGTGTGCTGGGCGCTGTCCTAGTGGAGTGTGCTCGGTTGTGTGACCTGTGTGTAAGCACTATTTCCATTCCCACTCTTGCATGAGGAAATGGGGCCGGGGCAGGCTGAGTGACTGGTGTGAGGTCACTGCAGGGAGAAGGTGGTGGGGATTTGCACCAAACCTGCCACCAGAGCCCATGCTGGTAGCTACTGCAGGATGCTGGCACCTAGGCCTCGGCTCTCACCTGACTCCAAGGTGAGCTGTGCTGTCCCTACCCTAGGGCCCTCCACCAGCTGCAGGGCCAGGACTCTCACAGCATGCTGGTGACGAGCCCTGGACATTTTCTCTGCCTGTTGCATATCACTTGGTCGGAGAGACTTTTGCAAAAGTTCAGAGTCTGTTTCCTTGAAGATGTCAGGCATGGCCTTGAAAGTCTGACCTGACTATACCCCAAGTTCTTGGAGTTTAGGTGGACAGGCAGTGAGGACCTCTGATGCCCCCCAACTTTCTGCAATTTACTCTGGTTAGAAATCCCAGAATGATTCCTCAGACTATTTTTCCTAGCTTTTTTCTTGTTAGCCAGTTGGCCTCTGTGGTGCTTTGGTGACCTTGGGCTGTTTTGATACAGCTCACACTTGACGTTGGCTCTCTTGGCTGCCTCCACCTCTGTCTGCTCTGTTTGTCCCTGATCACGTCAGATCTTTTGTGGAAACCGCAGCATCTGCTGCTGCACAGAGGAGAGACAAAGCAAGCTGGAATCACATTCAGAAAGGCCCCCTGAGAGCAGGCAGGCTGAGGTCAGCCTCCCCACAAAGGCACTGGGAGCCCTCTGGGAACTGAGATCTCCACTTTCCAGCAACTTCCTGTTGCTTAAGTCGGTTTTGGCTTTCAAGCATGACAAACCTCAACTTTCTCCATTAAAAAAATAACCGCTGACATTCCTATCTGATTTGGGCTGTTTGCAAAGGGTTTTTGTGCGCATAGCCTCCTTAAAGCCTGTAAACATCCTCTTTGTGTGAGGGACCTGGAGCCCAGAGAGGATTAATCCACAGAAGAGGTGGCCTTGAGGCAGGGCCGTCCAACCAGCAGCCCTTATCCTCCTATGACACTGACCTGAGCCCAGGAGACAGAGTGGTGCCCTCTGGGTGGGGTTCCTTCCCACCTCCCACTGACCGGCATATGCCAGTCTGCCTTGGGCACTACCATGGAACCATCCCCAAACCTTCCTCATGCTCCGTGACTGATTGTCTTTACTTCATAGCCAGGTGACCTGGAGCTGGAGGCTCTGGGGACAGCCAGGTCCCAGCACCATAAAGAGCGTTCTCTCTGTCCGCAGGAGGAAATGCAGAATAACGTGGAGGTGGTGCACACCTACCGCCAGCACATCCTCAACGACATGAACCCGGGCAACCTGCACCTGTTCATCAATGCTTACAACAGGTACTAGAGGTCCGGGGCTGGGGCAGGCTGGACGGTGGCGGGCGGAGGAGGTACAGGCCCTGGGTCTGAGCAGAGGGCTGGTGGGGCAGTACCTGGCAGGGACACCCATATGTCAGTGGCTCCTAGTGTTTTGTGAGCACAGGACTGGACAGGAATGGCTGAAGCCGGGCTCTGTGACCTCAAGTGACAGCTGCAGTCAGCAGTGCAGCACTGGGCAGTAGGAAGGGTCTCAGGGAGCTGCCTGGAAGCCAGTCTGTCCTTCTGAATTCAGAAAGGGACAGGACTGGCGGCCAACCCAAGGTTTGGGGGTCTATCGGTGAGCTCACCCAGCTTGCCAGGCAGTTCTTTCATGCTCACCAGAAGGGAGAGGCGTGTCCTCGGAGGCCTGGCCATGGTAATAATGTGACATTGCCAACCATGCCAGTGTACAGTGCAGAGTCTGGCAGCTGTGTCCCTCCATGTCCTGTGGTCTTGGCACGGGCAGCGCTGCTGAGGTTCTCGCTGGTTCTCACTGGTGCCGAAGAAGCAGATTTTGTAGTTCCTTTACTCCCAAGAACAGGAAGGAGTCCCAGGCTGGCAAGTAAGGGTGCCATGAAATCCAGCAGTGACCTCGAGCCTTACGCTGTGTCACCTCATGGAGGGCACAGAGCAGTGTCCTGGGAGGAGGTGCTTTTGCCACTGTGGTCATTTCCTGCAGAGGCAGCAAAGCCTCACAGATGCTTAATGATCTCCCCAAAGTCACGAAGCCAGGTTAGAGTCCTGTTTGTTGGCTGCAGTGTGTGTGCAAAGGTGTCTGGCTGTTAGCAGCTCACACACAGTGGAGGCGGTTGTGCAGGTGTGTAGGGCAGGGTGGTCTGCTCTGGGCCCCATGCTGTGCAGTGGAACCACTGGATTCTGCACCGGGGCTGGGGAATCTCAGGTCAGAGTTTGCAGGAGATTGTCAGCTGCTTCGTAGAGACCAGGGGTGGAGGGCATTAAGGGTGGACTGAGGTCAAGAATGGATACCCTGAGGTCAGTGCACAGGGGGGGTATCTTTGTCACACAAGGGTGACATATGAAGACCAGGGAGATAGAAGCACCCTCTGTAGTAAAAGACAGTTTGTATCCCTGCAATAAAACAGCAACAATAATTCATTTGGGACAAAATGAGGCAGGTTCTGCTGGAAATGCATGAGTCTTGCTTTACCTCAAGCTTGCAGGGTGGACAAGGGGAAGTCGTGGTGCCCTGGGAACCGTGAGAGCTGGCATGAATCATGGGTGGGGTGGTTCTCCAGCGTGGCCAGTGGTGGACCTCTGGGGTGGGCTCGATGGGAGAAGAGGCTTCTCAGGGCTGACACCAATACTTGTGACCTGCAGCCGCCGGGACCTGGAGATCGAGCGGCCCATGCCTGGAGTCCACACCGTGACACTGCAGTGAGTTTCTTGTCCCTCCCCACCCCACTGTCTGTGGCCTGCCGAGTGTCACCAGTGGCGGCACCCTGTGGACACTGAGAACTGGCTGTCTGCTGCCTGGTTGGCACCATCTGTGCCTCGGCATCCCCTACCCTGTGCAGACTGTGCCCTTGCCCAGCTGTAGCCCTGGATCTGGGAGACGTGGGAGCAGGTGTGCGGACCGCACCCCACAACCCTTTCCTCAGCTCCAGTGTCTGGAGCGGCATGAGGCCTCACTGCACAAAGTCTGGCCATGATTCCTCTAGGAGGAAAAGGCAGTTGCACACACATAGCTGAGAGTCTGCCAGCAGTGACCGAGTCTTGTGCTGCCTCTCAGGTACCCTGTACTCTGTGACCCTGGTGAATTTGGCAGGCCGTGCTTCCTTTGCTGTTCATGTCACTTTTAGTTACCAGCAAAGTCCTGCTCATGCTATCCAGATGCAGGAGAGGCTTTTAAATAAAAGCATCTGGCCCAGAAATTCTCTGACTGAAATTTAGACTAGGGTATCAGTGACTACCAACCCATTCATCCCAAGAGCAAAGCGGATGAGGAAGGGGAGTGCTGTAAAAGAAGCCAGAACAGCTTTGCTGGGGTCCTGGGCCAGCCTGGTGACAGCCTTGGAATGAGCCCCATGCTTTCTTGCCCACCAGATGCCCTGCTCTGTTGGTGGTTGGGGACAGTTCTCCTGCTGTGGACACCGTGGTAAGTGGAGGTGAAGGTCTGGGCCTCCCTACCCCATCTGTGTGGAAGATACTGTCAAACACTGTGCTGGCCCTGGCCAAGCCCAGCTGCCCATCTCTCTCCCGGCTGCCTCTGCCCTGGGGCTGCCCTGGTCACACTCAGCGCCTTCCTGGCCAGGAGACACTGGTCCTCCTCTCCGGGAGCCAGCTTTGTCTTCCGAACTGGACTGGTACCCCTTTGACTGACAGGGAGCGAGGCCTTGGCCTTGGGAGGCAGAGGTCTGTGACTCATCTCCCTGCTGAGTCCCCAGCCATGTATAGTGGGAGCAGAGAGAGCCCTCTGCCTTTCTGGTCTTCCCATGTTTGGGTGGATAGATAACTAGGGATCACTGATTAGAGCCCCAAATTGGGCTACGGAGTAGAATTTGCAAATGGTCATGTAGTAAAGACCTGTAGTGTCTTATAGAACCATCGTGAGTTTCTTGTGTGATTCTTTGAGATAAGTAGGATATATCAATTGAGGTATACTGTTCATGCCAAGGGAGGTGGTAGTTCTATTCTAGGCATTTGAAGCATCACAGGTGACTCTGGGTGCCACTTTTCAGAGGGTCTCTGCAAAATGAAGACAGAGACCACTTTAGTGAGAGTGATTTTATACAAACAACAGTTGTTGGAATTACAGTTGTTAAATCAGTACAATTTCTGACAGCAGCTGATAAAATAAGGCCATTCATTCAGCAGATAATTCTGAGGCACCCTCACCTTCCAGCTAGTCTATAGGACAACTTTTGGAAAAGAAGTTATGTCCCCATTTAACACACAGGGAAACTGAGGCTCAGAGAAGTTAAGTAACTTGCCCAAGGTCACACAGCTGGTCCCAGAAGACCTGGGATCTAAAGCCACCTTTGCCTGGCCAGGAGCTCAGGTCCTTTGTTCTATGCCAAGGGCACATTGGGGTTTCTGGTGCCAGAGCAGAGCAGGAGGAAAGGGTGCAGGTGGAAGGACTAACAGAGCTCTGCCCTTGTCCAGGTGGAGTGCAACTCGAAACTGGACCCCACGAAGACCACTCTGCTCAAGGTATGGGGAAGCGTGGGGAGCAGAGGGCGTTAGTTGGCAGAGATGCTGGAGAGTTCTGCAAAACTGAGCAGCTTCCAGTGAGGGCAGACCTAGTGGTCAGAGCAGGTGGAAGTTGAGAGTTTAGCATTGCTGTTTGCAAACCCTGGCTAGGCCCTGGCTGGGGCTGGAGGCCGCAGAGAGGAGTGGTTCCCTCTGCAGGGCACAGGAGCTATGAATTGCTGTAGGGTTCAGGGAGGGCTGCACAGCACAGGAGCTATGAGCTGCTGTAGGGTTCAGGGAGGGCTGCACAGTAGTGCTTGGCAGAGGCTCTGTGTCCCTAGGCTGCGGCCAGTGTGCCCGTCAAGGGGCTATGGTTGTCCATAGCAGCAAGTGCCATGGCAGAGACCAGAGCACTGAGGGGACATGGTGTCTGCAGAGCTGGAACAGCCAGCACTGAGCTTTTGGACTTTTGGCCTCCAGCACCAGGACAGAGTGAAGTCTGTTGCCGGAGCCACTAAGTCTGTTGGACTTTGTTATGACGCATCCTAAAGTTCAGCTTTAACGAGGCCCAAAGCCAAACATCTTCCAGTCTCTCAATTGCCTTTTGGAAGAATCAGAAAATGCATAACCTCCCCTCCAAGGCTGTGGGCAGCCTGGGATCCACCAGGATTCCCTCAATTGCATCATGGCAATGTGTCCCTCTATGCCTCCAGTCTGTGTCCAGATTTCTTTCTTTTCTTTTTTCAGCAGTTTTGGGGATTGAAAACTGAACTGTATCCCCAACCATTTTTATTTATTATTTTTTATTTTGAGAGAGGGTCCCACTAAGTTTGGGCAGTTGTCCTGCCTCAGCCTCCAAGAGTGCTGGGATTTCAGGTATGGCCACCATGCCTTGCTTCCCTTTTCCTGTATGGAAGTCAGTTATTATATTCTGGGCCCATATTCATCTAGAAGGATTCTATCTGGACTGTATTTATAAGGATCCTCTTTATTTCCAAAGACGGTCTCGTTCAGGGTGCTTGGAGTAGGAGCCATAGTATGCTTGTTAGGGGCACAGTTCAGCCCACAGCCAAGATTAGGCGGCCTCAGGTGGTCAGGCAGCTGGTTTGATATCATCCCCAGTTCCTACGGGCACTGCCCAGCCCTGCTGAGTTGCTTCCATGCCTAAAGTTTCGCCAGCATCCTCACAGAGCTGGAGGGTGGCCCAAACTCTCACAGCCCTGTGGCTAGTGCTGAGGAGGTGGCCTTGAGATCCTTGGGGCTGCATGCTCCCCGCCTTCTCCCTGGATCTGCAGCCCCGTGTCCTTGCAGAACTCCTGTCCTCCCGGTATTACTCTGTCCCCTTCAGGATAAGCACATGCATGTGCCTACTTCGACTCCAGCTGGATGGCAATGGCTTTTAGTTTCATGATTTAATAAAAACTTTGAAAGTCCCCACATTTACCAACAACAGCCAGTCAGGAGCCCTCTCGGGCCTGGTCTCTCCAATCCACCATTTACTTCTTGAAGGATTTCCAAACAGTAAGCAGACTGGGCCTCCGATGTGGACCCTTTGCAGGTCAGATAGAAACTGGCCACAATCTTACAGGTCGCTCTGGCCCTGTCTGGCCCAGTTTCTGCCTCCCAAACAGGACACTTGCATGTTCTTGGGGGAGGGCATGACATGGTCTGTAGGGCCCAGTGGTGGGGTGGCATTGTAGAAAACTATGAGCAGAGGCTAACAAGGAAATGCCCAGCAGCCATCTTGCTAGGCGGGGGTGGGGTGTGCCCCACCCACAATCCACCTGTCGCAGAACAGGTTGTTGTGGCCTGGTGTGGGCATTAACCAGCTTCCTTCCCTTCTAGATGGCGGACTGTGGCGGCCTTCCACAGATCTCTCAGGTGAGTGCCATGTGTCACCATGCCCCAGTGATGCCCTTCTGTGTGAGACTGGCATGTGCCACATTCCTCTCTGCCACGCTGTGACATCAGATGATCATGTGTGGATTGTGCTGATTTCCAAAATGTAGTTTCCCACCGAGGCACACTTGCATCCCAGAAAGGTGGCTCTAAAGGAAAGTGCCCTGTGGACATAACTGGTCACTGTAAGTCAGAACACAGGTCTCCCTAGGGACTGCAGGCTTCTGCTGGGGCCAGGGTCCCAGGCCCTCAAGCTGGGATCAGAGGGACACAGAAGACATGGGACCCAACTGTGTATGCATGTATATGTGAGTCCATGCATGTGTCTGTCTTGTCTGTCAGCATGTTGGCTGCACCGTCATAACTGACCTTCCGATTGCTCCCCATAAACTACCCCATCCACCTATCAAATGGACCTTTCCTCTATTTTCTTACCATTTTATATCAGGACAGCTGTTGTAGTCAATGGTTTGCAAGGAGAACAAGACAATACAGGACACATGATTTCTAGTATTACTTATAATGGTCACTCAAAGGGTCAAATAGAAGAAGTTCAAGAAATCTGTCCACACATTAAAGACCTAGAGAATCCTGCTGTGGGCCTGGATCCCATGGTGGTATTCTGCGTGAGTCCAGCTGCAGACCTCAAGCCCTTGACAATATCTCCCAGTGTCTAACTGAAGGCCTAGAGCCCACAACGATGACTCATGCAATGGAAAGGCCCAAGGTCAGTGGTGGAAGCTAGAAAGTCTATGCCAGCAGGATGAAGGATGTGTGCAAGCAGGTGAGCTTCTACACTGGAGCCAGGAAGCAACACTCAAGAACCAGAGCTCCCCCAAAAGTATCACAGCCATCCTCAGTGACAGTGAGGTCCCAAGCTCCTCCAAAGATGAAAACATATCTGGAAGCCAGTGTGACAAACTTCTCCTGGAGATTGAACCACTACACACTTCCCCTCTGGAACCAGGAAGCAGTGCTCAAAGGATGGACCAGAGCTCTCCAAAGTGAACCACAGCCATCCTTAGCAGCAATAAGGTCCTGAGTTCCTCTAATGATAAGGACGGCCTTTCATATCAGGAAAGAAGCTCAATAAGCTCCTCCAGGAGAACCCATGGCAACAAGAGAAAGCACCAAACAACACCACGTAGGAGACCCAACACCACTTCTTTTTCCTCTCCAGGTCTCCTTTTTATGCTGACAACAGTCCTCAGTGGGCCAACCATGCTCAGAACCACACTGATTCAGTTCAGCTGCTGTTTGACCACAAATACCCATCCACTACCAGAGCTTTGAATGCTGTCTTGAAATGGAATGTTCCATGAAGCTTTGTCATCTTTTTCCCTCTGACCCTGTCCCACCCCACTGCTCCCTTTCTCTGCTTGAAATTGGAGCAGACCTCACACTGCCTGCAGTTGAGGCTTTTTCTAAATACTGCAACAGGAGTGAGCTGGCCAGGTTTCCAGGAAACCAGCTGGGAGGACCAATTCCTGCATATGGTGTTCCTTCCTCCTTGGGCCCTTACACACTGGGGATGTGTCCACAAATAATTGTCCCATCCTCGATTACATTAGACCCTCACAATTACTCTCAGAGGGAAGAAGAGCCAGGATTTGATCTCACTGTCACAGAAGAGGACGCCAAGACTAGAATATGGGAGAGTTGGCCCACGATCAACCAGGAAAGCCTCATCGGGCCCATGTGACCCATTTTCGAGCCTGTTTTGTTGCTTCTGTCCCTTCTCTCTGAAGCCCTGATATGTCCTGCTTGTCATTTTTTTCACTGTCACGCAAGTCCCAGAGGGAAATTTTTACATAGCCAAATGTCATTTGCCTTCTCATAGATTAGTGGCAGGAGTCGGGGCTGTGCAGGGAGGGGCCTTCAGCCACTGACTTGTCTCTGTAGGAGAGCAAGACCCAGGGTTGTAAGCTTTGCAATTGATGGAGGACAGCAGATATGCATGAGTGCCCTTCCTAGTTCAGATTAAACTGACCATTTCAGAAGAAATGATCGACCCAAGTATGGTCTCACCATTCAGTCTGTCTGTCCACCCAAGCATCTAACTCTCAGTACTTTCCATATTTTTCTCCTTTTATTTTCCTTTCCTCGCTCACCTTTCCTTCCTTTCTTCTGCCTATTGGTCCTGTTTTTCTTTTTCTTTTTCAGGTACCTGGAAATAAAGTCATAATCTAGCACTTGCTAGGCAGATGCTGTGCCACTGAGCTATATCCCTGGCCCTGTTGTATTTTTAGCCATCTGTGTATCTATGCAGAGCCTCTTTCCTTCCTGCCTGCCACCTATCTTTTTTTCCCTTCTTTCTTGCTTCCTTCTTTCCTTCCTTCCTCTCATCCATTCATCCTTCCATTGAGACCTGGTGAATTTCCTTGAGCACATGGGTTCTGGGTTTGGAGGCCTTGGAGCAAATATCCAGGAAGCACTTCTTACTGAAGATCTTGGATGGGTAATTTTCCTCTCCAATTCTGTCTGCTGTGTCATGATACACAGTAGCGTAAATTTCCCATGGTGCTTGGTGGAAGGAGATGAAATGGTGCTGTGCTGTGGAGCCCTAGTAGCCTGAGCAGCTCCAGCTCTTAATGCTTATAATGCTGCTGCTGTGCAGATGTGGGGAGCAGTGCTACACCCAGCATGGTTCCCAGAAACGTTCAGCAGTTAGTGTGACACTGCTCTGTGTTACAGGTCAGGAAACTAGTTCATATGGTCATGTGATTATCCCAGTACCTACAGCTCTGAAGTGACTTTGAACTCTTTCTCCCTGGCCAAAGCTAATGTTTTAGTCCTATAATGAGATCATAATTTTACTTGTCTTAGTTACTTTTCTCTCATTGCTAATACAAAATAGCTGGTGCCCAAAGTTACATAGGGATACGTTTATGTGGCTCAAAGTTTATAGCGGTTTCAGTCCATAAGTGGCTGGCTCCAAGGCAGAGAAAAACGTTCATGGAAGGCAGAATGTAGTAAAGGAACAGGGGACTGTAGTTTAGTAATCACAAACCCTTATTGCCAGCATCATACACTCTAGATTCAACCACCTCTGAAAAATCCCTACCTATGACCACATGAGGCTTTGAGGGGAGGTCTAGACACAAGCTGTAACATTCCCTTTGCTTTTATGTCTTCTCCTGTTAACACATGGCCTTTGTTCATCTTGGGCAAAGCTCTGACATGCAGGTAACCACAGCACCTGCTGAGGTGGCCTTTGGCAATCTAGATGTCCCACTGCTGATTCTATTTTCTTTCTCTCCTCTCTCACAGCCAGCCAAGCTCGCCGAGGCCTTCAAATACTTCGTGCAGGGCATGGGATACAGTGAGTATGGCGTCTTCTGGCATGTGGTGGGCTGGAGAGGAGTGGGATGGCAGATGCTATGCCTTAGCTGGGTTTGGGTGAGAATTCTGTGTCACACAGGCTGCTGTCTAAGTTCCAAACACTGAACAGAAATGTTGCCCTGATGGATTACTTGAGTGATGGCAAGTGTCTGAGAAATGCTTCTGTAGTTAGTTTCATAGCTAGGTGAGCATGATACAGTATACTTACAAGCCGTAGGCAGTGGTGAGGTCACGAGGCATCACTAAGCAATATAATCATTTTTTTATGGAAAAAAAGAAAATTTCATAGCAAAATAATAGAATAATAATTAAATACATTGCATATTTTGATCTTTAAAAGTAGTCACTCAGGGTACAAGATATGGGTATAAAAATTTTAAATTGATATTAGCGCCAACCTTCCCTTTCAGTGAACTAAGAGACACTGATAGTGTAACTGCCTTGCATTTTTCTCTTTTCCCTTCCATTCTTTCTCCTTTCCCCCATCCTAGTTCCTTTTACCTTTTGAATAATTGCTTCCCATTGTATGATATCTATTATACATTTTAGCCTCATTTACTCTTTTAGTTTCTCACAGCAGGGAAACAATATGATGTTTACATGTGTGTGTGTGATTTGTGTCACTTCGAGTGTGGTCTCAAGTTGCGTCCATTGATGTCTAAAAGTGTCCAGTTTATCCTTTATGGCTGAGCAGTACCCCATTGTATAAAAATACCACCTCTGTTTTATCTGTTCATCAGTTGATGGGCATTTAGTGTGTTTCCAGTCTTTAGCTATTATAAGCTGTGTTAAGCAGTAAAATCTCACAGTGCCACTGTCCATACGAGTGCTCAGTCATTGAGCGAAACATCACTGTACAGCACGCGCAGTGGTCGGTTGAGCAGAAGTTGCTTCACACTTAGAATTGTTTTAGGGTTAGGTGAGGACCATCCCTCCAAGCACTAAGAAGATGATAGACAATAGGCAATGAATGCCTTTTTAATTGTGACCGCACGCTTGCTTGAGAGCCTTAGCAGCTGAACTGAAGATGCTGAGGTTAGTGAGGGATGATTGATAAATCCTTTATTTCTTCACATTTAACCACCATAGTAGTCCTGCAGGAGATTCTTGGCCGTGGTGGACAAATGAGGAAGTTGTAACTTAGAGAGGGTAAGCAAGCAGAGAGAGGCGATCTGTGGAAGTGATAAGCTCTGTGTGAGCAGGCGATAGAGCCACTTAGATTCACGATTGAGCCGATCTTTCTGACTCATTCGGTTCTGGAACAGATGGACAGATAAAAGTTTAATTCAAGAACTTGCTGCTCTGCTTTATTTTTAGCTTTTGGGTGGTCAACCGCATATAGCCACACTCTGAATAGGACACACACAGGAGAGACAGTATAAGCTCCTATCCCAGGGGAGCCCTGGTCAAGGCTGGTGCCTGATCAATGTGGCCCCCTCTCAGCTCTTTTTGCGCATGCTTAGAATTATGCTTCATGTGCCCTTCTTAGCCAGGAAGGCCTTGAACTTCTAATCTATTTTTCCTTAAACCCTTCACTTGTGTAAGAGTAGCAGTGTATTTGACAAACCTGTGCAATTTTAAGCTCAGCCTCAGCCACAATTGGCTTCTAGGAGGACCAGGAGTGAGGGAGTGTAATTTCCCTGTCTCCAGATGCTCTCCAGCAACAAGACACCTCTGCTCTCAGACCTCCTGCCTGTCCACCTGCTTCCCCTAAGGAGAGGGAGCAGGCAAAGGTCAAAAGCAGAAGCAGGCTGCTCGGGCCTTGTTTACCTTGCAGGGTGTGAATCACGCCTAGGCTCCCTTGTCTTGGATTTCACATGGATTTGGATTTCTGCTTGCATGGTGTATTCTAAGGGAGAAGGGAGTGAAAACAAGGCCTTGCTTTTTCCCTCAAATCAGTCTCTGTTTCAGTTTTCTTCACCCAATTCAGCTGCTAGCCACAAAGCATCCTGCAGGTTAGAGAAGCAGAAGCTAGAGTTCAGGTTTCAGAAGCATTGCCTAAATGGGCAGAAGGGAGCCATTCATCACCACCTTGCCATGGTGGCCAGGTGACCAGGCCTGAGTGTGTACCTGGCGTCGCTGGACAGTCTCTGTAGCCCAGGCAGGGGAGGGACTCCAACATTTGGAGTCTATAAGTAAAAACTCAGGAACAATATGTGAACTGCAGATGTGGGATTGATATATAGGGTTTTTTTTTCTGGATTCAAAACTAGCCTTTCAAGGAGGGACTTACTGTGTGTGAATATCTGCCATAGAAAACCAACCATATGACATCGAGTGACCATGGTCACCCCTCTGTGGACTCATCCCTGTCCTCTGCTTTGGTGGCTGATGTGTGTTACTTTGTGAAGCCTCTGTAGACTGCTTTAGTTGGATGTAGTCTCATTGTACATCCATGACAAACTGCCACAAATGAGGTGGTTCAAGACAAGAGGAATGCATTGTTGTGTAGTTTAGGAGGCTGGCGGTGCAGCATCAAGGTTCAGCTGGTGCTGAGCCCTCCAAAGGCTATAGGAAGATGCTTTCCCTGTCACTTCTTGGCCTCTCCTGGTGGCAGCAATCAATCACTGGCCTCCCAAGCCTTGCTCCAGCCTCTGCCTCTGTCTGCCCACTGCCCATTGCCCTGTGTCTGTATCTCTGTCTTTTGATTAAGGTTGCTGTCCATGGGACTAGGGGTCATCCTAATCCATAGCATCTTCTCTTAATCTCTGTACAAACCCTGTTTCTCAGCAAGGTCACATTCTGAGATTCCACGTGGGCATGCATTTGGGAAGGGACAGTGTAATCCGCAGGAGTGGGGAGGATTGTTGGTCAGTCTATTCATCAACCACATGACTTCTGGGCATGAAGTCTCGGAGAAGACTTCAAAGGATAGCATGATGTAGTAGGCATGATTATATGAGGGGTTGTGGTAATGTCCCCATTTTATAGATGGGAATATGGGGACTCAGACACTCTCCTAAAGTTACATGGCTATTAAGGAAGTGGCAGAATTGAGCGTCACACCACAATTCAGGCTCAGATCACTTGCTATAAGTCCTTCTCCTATCTGAGCCTCAGTGTCCCCTATGAGTGGACAGAAACAGGAACCCGGGTCCGATTGCTGCAGGACTGAGCTGGGGTAGAAAGGAAGGAAGGCTTGGTGACTGGTGGTCAGGTGCATGTGGTGTGTTCCCAGTAGCCATCTCGCATCCCTTAACCAGCCATCTTCTGTTCTTCCAGTGCCTTCTGCCAGCATGACCCGCCTGATGAGGTCCCGCACAGCCTCTGGCTCCAGTGTTACATCCCAGGAAGGTTCCCGCAGCCGCTCCCACACCAGTGAGGGCCCCCGCAGCCGCTCCCACACCAGTGAAGGTCCCCGAAGCCGCTCCCACACCAGCGAGGGAGCCCACCTGGACATCACCCCCAACTCGGGAGCCAGTGGGAACAGCACTGGGCCCAAGTCCATGGAGGTGTCCTGCTAGGCAGGCTGTGCCAGCCACCCTGGACTCAGGGCTCTGTAGCAGCCTCCCGTCCCATCCTCCCTGCCCAGGCCTGCCACCCTGTGCTAACTCGATATTAATCCAAAGCTTATTTTGAGAGTGAGCTCTGGCCGTGACAGATTGGGTCTTTCCAGGGCCCCTTGTTGAACGAGGGTGAGATGGCAGGGGGACAAAGGACAGAAGCAGCTCAGTGTCCTGTTTTCATTAACCAGTGGCCTGGTTGCCACTCTCGTACCTGCCCTCAGACGCCAAACTGCCGAAACCAAGCAACGCAGAGCAGCGAATGCTTCCCCGTCCTGGCCCAAGCATCCTGGCGGCTGCGGTTTAGCAGCCCACCTACTACTTCCTCTCCAGCTGAAGCCAAGACGCCTGGGGTCCTGGAAATGAATCCATCTCTGACCAGGGAGGGCCAGACCAGTGAATTATAGGGCCGTCTTTTAAGTACATAAAACAGGAAATGGGGAGAAATTCTACTTTAAGTGGAAGCTAGATGCATTTGGAAACACCCATGAAGTTCGCTTTCTTCAAATCAGTTTTTAAAATTGGTGCATATATGAACTTTTGAGTGCCGGAGCACATGTGCCTGTTTTTCTGACCTCTTTTAATGTACGGTAAAATCAGGCAGCATACTCTGCCAGCTTTACAAAGAAACAGCTCTGGTGAACTTCGGCACTGTGGTGTTCTAAGGCTTTAATTCTGCTGTCATCTCTCCCACGGCTCCTTCCTCCTGCCCTAGTCCTGAGTGATTAGCTTTGGTCATGTGGAGGGTCTTTAGATCTATGGTTGCTTTCTTTGAAATGGAGGCAAATATTCCGGCCAGCTGTTTCAGGCTTTGAGTCTCTGTTCAGGAGAGCAGGCAAGAGGCCCGGAGACTAAGAGTTAAGTGTTTTCCATGGAATCCAGTGTCATGATTTCAGCGGGCCCAGCCTTTACCCCAGGAATCTTGTGTGAATGAGTGAAATCCTATCTCCCCTTGTTCACTTCTGAGGTTAACTTTGAACCTGATTGCTGACTGTCTCTGACCCAGGACTGTTAGGTATCTTCAGAGAGAACTTTCTGCTCGTATACGGGATGGGAATTTATGTGGGTCTTGGGCTGAGAAAATGTGGGTTCCGGGATCTCTGTTCCATGGAGATGCCTTTCCCTGTGCCCCTTTCTGCCTCTTTAACCTCCTGCTGCCCGGGCTGCACCACTGACACTCCGAAAGATGCCTCCTGGCTGTGCACTGTCCATACTGCTGCCTTGTGACTTCCACTTCGGCTAACCTTGGATTTTCTTAGAGCAAGTTTGATCAGAGTGAATCGAACATTGTGCATCAGCCACTGTGATTTGGGGACTCCCAGGACCCTAGAGTTGGTAGAAGGAAGTAGTCACATCTTTTAAGTGGCTGAGAGGTAATAATTCAGTTTAGCTGCCAGCCACCACCTTGGAGGCTTCCCTGACTGCAGAAACGATCTGGGACCTGGGAGAGAGTGGCTGAGTGCAGACCGGAAACTATCGTACAAGTCTTTTCAGAGGAGTTTCTTAACGAGATATTTGTATTTATTTCCAGACCAATAAATTTGTAACTTTGCAATGTCTTGTGTCTTTTTCTTCTCTATGTGAGAGATCGTGTGTGGACACTGAGGTATGAGAATGGCTCTTGGAGTGAGGGCATTGCTTGTCCTGGACACCCAGGCCCCATCACGTGACCCTCTTCCCTGGAATACTTTGTTTTAGAGCAGCAGCATCCACTGGAAATCAACTGCCAGCCACATGGACAACTAAATTTTCTAGTAGTCACATTTTAAAACATAGAAATAGGTAAAATTAATTTCAAAAATGCATTTCATTTAAGCCAAGAAATCCAAAATATTGCCATTTCTAGGAAACATCAGACATTTGACCTTTTTCTCTTTTGTTTTCTTTTTTCTTTCCTTCTCCATTTCTTTTGAGACATCTCACTATAGTGATCACATTTGACCTTGCTTTCTCTCTCTCTCTCTTTCTTTCTTTCTTTTTCTTTCTCTTACTCTTTCTTTCAGGAAATCTCACTATAAGGGTCCCTTTTCCTGTCCTTGGTTCAGTCCAGGAAGTTTATATTTGTAATCCCATGAATTCTAGCAAGGTAATTCCAAGCTACCACTTCCAGTATAACTCACAGCAAGAATAAGGACACTAAGACATAGTTACGGGAGCCACAAGGGTCCTAAGTTGTGGGAAGCCCTGTAATTGGCTGCCACCTTATATCTACAGGCAGCACCACCTTAACCCCCTCTAGGAGTTAAGTTTGGTAGTTAAGCAGCTCCTTGCCTACCCTGTTTGGCCCATTCAGAGATTATACCAATCAGCCCACCTTATGAGCCGTACAGGAAATTTGAAAATTTGAATTAACCTATAACCCTCGGTCTTGCCACTGTTGCTAAGTTACCTGCTGACATCTCAGAACCCAAGTCCCTCCTCCCCCAATACCCTATATATTTGTTAATCTTTCCTTGAATATATGAGACTTGATCAGATTTCTGTCTTGTCTCCTTTCTTTGCAACTCTTGTCCCTTCTCATCTCCACTCCCCCTCTAGGGTCTCCGTAGATTTACCCACAGGCAGGGACACTAAGTCAGACCCTCATGGCTCCCCATAACCAAGGCTCATTGGAGCAAAGGCCTTACCCCAGGGCCTAACCTAGATTTTATTAATTCTTGAAGAAGGGAGTGGTTTAAGGATGAGAGACAATGAATTCTAGGAGTACTGTGAGCTGGGGTAGGTAGGAGGCTTGAAAGGCTCCCTGCACTATGCAGAGAACGATATGCAGGAAGACAAATCTATGCAACACAATTGAGGTAACATTTAATGTTTAGGGTGTGGTGCTTCAGCTCTGGTGTGCAAACTTTTCTGCCCTGAGAAGTCACAGTCTCTTGTCACGAAGCTGGAACCCAGTTGATGCCCTGGCATGTTGGCTCTGTATCCCACCTGGCTCAACCATGTTTTGATGGGAGTCACAAGGCAGGTGGGGAAACAGCAGCCTAGCTTCAAAGATTAGGCATCAGCACCTTAGTTAGCGCTGTTTACATTGCTTAGAGCCAATTAGGAAATGGCTTGGCCAGGTTTGTAGGTAGCAGTACATAGAGATAGGGCTAGGTTTAGAAAATAGAGATAATTGCTTTGTTCAAAGAGTCATCCAGGTGGTCCTCTGCATCTCACTATATAATGCAAGCTGACCTTGACCTTGCACTTGCTTATGTAGTCCAGGCTGGCCCCAAACTCATAATGATCTTCCTGTCTCAGCCTGCCAAGTACTGGAATTACAGGCATGTACCGCCACAGTTGGATAACATCATTCTTTTTTCTCTCCTAAGAAACCCAGTGTGTTTGTCACCTTCACAGCAAATCTCAAATGCAACCTGCCATATGTCAAGTGTCCAGCACCTTGATCAGTACAGTGACAAGAGAATAAAGTCTTTCAACCTAAAATTAGAGGGAAATATATTTTTAAAGTTTTATTTTTATTACAGGAAGATGTGAGTGATCATGGCTGTGCTCATGCTCACTGATAGCCGCTGTAGTGCTTGTTTTCAGTACATTTTAAAAAAATGTAAACAGGCTTTAATTATTTCAGATTTTTATTTAAGGTCAGCTTACAATTTTCACAGCAGTTGCCATGATAGTAATAGGGTCCCTCTATCTCTACTGTACATCTCCCTGTTTTCCACATCTTATGTTATAGGATGTGGGAGATAACTCTAGTGACTTCCTTTGAATGTAAAACAATTACTGTGACTTTGATTATTTGGAGGCTCATTTTTTAATACTGATGTAAAAAGCTGGCTAGGGGATTTTTTTTAAATTGGCTCTAAGCATTGTAAATAAGGCTAGGGGAGGTGCTAATATGTAATCTCTAAAGCCAACAGACAGTCCTGTTTCCTTGCATAGTGTTCTCCATACAGGATATGTACAGGATATGAGCACAGGAGATGTTCCTGCCAATAGCTCCAGGAATGTCAACTGGGTATGAGCCTCAAGATAAAGAGTCTTTGACTTCCCAGGGCACAAAAGTTTGCATATTAGAAACCAAAGCACAGCCTCCCAAAACAATTCCATTGCTACCTTAATTACATTATGTAAACTGATCCTTCTGCATATCTTTATCTCTGCAATTTACAGAGATGTCAATCTTACACCTGGCCAGCCAGCTCAAGTTACATAATTCCCACCATCCTCACTATCACTTATCCCTGAGCCACCCCCTTCTTCACAAGATAATAAATTCTGGGAGAGGCCTAGGATCAAGGCCTTTGTCCGCATGAGAATTAGACTTAAGAACCATTGGCTGCCCTTAGCTTAGAATATGTCTTGTTGTCTTTACTCTCACCATGAGTTGTATTGGTGGTGGTAGATTAAAATTAACTTGCTGGGATTCTAATAATGTCTCAGTGGGATTACAAATATAACTTTCTGGATTGTGAAAAAAACTAAAAAGAAGATTACAATACTTAGATGACTAAACTTGATATTTGGGATTACAATAATAGGGGGGGCATTTGCCACAGCTCAGGGGCCATGCTCAGATGCTGTGTTCGCCTAACTCCATATTTTCTTGGGATTTCACTTGTTCTGCTTGATTGTTGTTTTTTTTTTTTTTTTTTTTTTTTTTTCCCTGTCCAGAATCCCTTGCAGGAGATCCCAGCAAATCTAGTTCTGTATCTCCACACTTCCTCATGCCTTTTCTCAGATTTCCCTTATATTTGGACTCCATGGAGGAGCACTCGTTGGGCATTTTGGAGAAAGCCCCTCAGTGAGGGTCAATGCAGGGTTTTTCTCATTGTTCAGCTGTCCTGAGACTCACAGAGGTGAAGCCCTTGTCACGTCATATGGAGGACATAGTATTAGCATGCTATATCACAGGTGTGGTTGTCCCACACCTGCCACATGGTATTTCTGAGTAACTTTGCTTTTCCAGCCAGTCACTAAGCATCACCACACTCAACACCCCCTATTAGGTAAGGTAAGTTGGTTTTGCCCAACTCTATGCGATGATGTGTGTTATGGATTAAGAACTGGTGGTCAACTTAACGCCAGCTGGATTACATCATCATGGCATTGAGCGAAGATGCTCCACCTGAAGAAAGTTGCCAGGATAAATAGGTGGAGAAGAAGAGAGGGTTGAGGTGTTAATGCATTGTTGCGTGGAGGCATTGTGGGTTGTTTTTTTTTTTTTTTTTTTTTTTTTTTTTTTTTTTTTTTATGAGTTGCTGTTTGAGCTGTTGGTTTTCCTGGAGAAGCTTTGGTTCTCACATCGAGCATTGCCTCCTGGCTCCAGAGGGGAAGACATGTGCTGCTTGGTCTTCAGGATGAACTCATGCTGCTTCCTGGCATGTACCCAACTGTGCTTGTTGTCAGAGGAGCTCGGAGCCTCCGTGTCACTGAGGATGGCTGTGTTGCCTTTTAGGATAGCCCTGGTTTTTATTGTAAGTGTGACTTCTCAGCTCCAGTATAGAATCCTCATCCCACTAGCACAGCTCCTTCATCCTGCTGGCATAGAGTTTCTGGCTTCCACCGCTGACCCTTGGGTCTTCCCGTCACGGATCCGTAAAAGAGACTGGCATGAGTCCTTCTTGTGGGCTCTGGGCCTCCGGTTGGACTCATGGAAGGCATTGTCCTGAGCTCTGTGTTTTTATCTGGACTCATGTGGGACATTGCTGTGTGATTTAGGCTCTTGATTAAATAATCTATGTCTTTGGTGTTGCAGATAGATTTCCTGCATTTTCCTGTGTTAAATCCCGGTGACCATTATAAAAAATAATATTATAAACTATATGTCTTGATCCTAATTGTTCTCTGTGTACAAACCCTGACTACAACAATGTGTAAGCATTTCTGCCATCTGCATCTTGGGACAGTGGGTGGATCTGTCATAATCCATGGGCCCTGCTGTCCAGGAAATATGCTTGGAACACCCCAGGGTATCAACCTGACAGCAAAGAGTGAGGAGGTGCCCCACACACATGTGCTCAGAGGGTGGATGAGATGTGCATGTGTGAGGAGCCTGCATGTAGACCTGAGCAGATAATCAGGTATGCTATACGGGGCAGAAAGTGAGGCTGGTGAGATAATTGGGAGAAGGGCTGGCCGTCCACAGTATTGACTGCTGTTTCAACTGAGTCTAAGAGGAACACACCCTTTTTTGGGCCCTCTTTGTAAATAGGAGAAGCCTTCTTATACCCTTCAAAAGAATTTTCAATGAGTGATATGAAGTCCATAAAATCATCATTAAAAACTCAAATCGGTCACATTTCTGTGTGATTAACCAAATGTTAAGATTGTGCGATGCCGTCACACTTACTTCCTCTGCAATAAGTTAAAGAGAGGGTTGAGGCAGATCCCAACATGACTGCTGTTTCGAAGTAACAGTGAGCGTTCTTGGAGACAGTCGCCTCAGCTGTGACCAGACCCAGCCTGTGATCACAGCTGCCAGTTCGTTGGGGTTTGTTGCCTATGTTCATGGAGAAGTGAATGCTAAATTGCAATTAGAGCTTAGTGAAAACAAAGATGTATTTTGTGTCATTAGAGGACAGGGCAATTAGAGTCTATGCATGGATC